CAGAGCCCAGCGTTTACCCAGAGAAAGGAGCACCTTCCCCATGCGGTTGGCGCTCACAGCCTGGGCTTCCATTGTCTTCTGTAATTCTTGCACCTGAAACTGCTCCTGCCTCTTCCCCAATGTCCCCCACTACCTCCCCTGAGTCCCGGTGGTGAAAAAAAACTCCGAAACACTGGCTTAGTCTTTTCTGTTCAGCTGACCAATTGTTGTGTTCTTAGCCTGGCCTTGTCACTTCCTAAGTATGTGTCCAGAAAACCAGTCGGCCCATCGTGCAGACACACGGGGGATCGTGTGGAGACACAGGGGCTGCTGGATTCAACTGGCTACTATTTAGTGAAGATCTTGTGCATCCAGGATCACGAGGAACGTGGATCTGTTGTTTTCATTGTCTGTACTGTCTTTGCCTTGTTTTGGTATCAGAGTAATAATGAGCCTCATAAACTGAATGTATGGAACGAGCTATCAGAACAGACTCCATAGTTGTCTGGCGGATGAGGGAATACTATGTGCAACTTTACAATCATAAATTCAACATCTTAGAAGAAATGGACTAATTCCTTGAAAACCACAAGCTACCAAAACTCAACCAAGATAAAACAGACCATCTGTGGGTTCCATAGCCATTAGAGAGAGTGTTCTGTCTTATTCTAATTTCTGGACGAAGTGTGTACAACTGGTGTTCCTTTAAATATTTGGTAGAACCCTCCAGAGAGCCCATCTGGGTCGGGATATTTCTCTTTTTTTCAGGGGCTTTTGAATTGCCAATTCAATTTCTCTAATGGCTATAGAACCTCACAGATGGTTTATTTTATCTTGGTTGAGTTTTGGTAGCTTGTGGTTTTCAAGGAATTAGTCCATTTCTTCTAAGATATTTATGATTGTAAAGCTGCACATAGTATTCCCTCATCCATCAGACGGCTGCGGAGTCTGTACTGATAGCCCGTTTCATTCTTGATTTGGACTTAGGTCTTCCTTTTCTTATCTTTCTTGCTATTTATTCAAGTAAATACACATCTGCAGGTCTACTGAGATGCCCATCAAAGGCACGCTGCTTCTCTGTTCCTGTGTTTATTTCTAGCATTTCCATTTGATGTTTTTTTATAATTTCCATCTCTTCTGAAATTACCTATCTGATCTTCTACATTGTCGACCTTTTGCATTAGAGGCTTCAAAATAGTGATTGTGTTGGTAGGTGCCATCGAGTTGACTCCAGCTCAGAGCGACCCTATGAGCTCATAGCGACCCTATGAACAACGGAACGCACCATTGCCCGGTCCTGCGCGGTCCTCACAATTGTTGCTGTGTTTGAGCCCACTGTTGCAGCCACTGTGTCAAGGCATCTCGTTGAGGGTCTTCCCTTTTGCTGACCCTCTCTTTACCAAGCATGATATCCGTCTCCAGGGACTGGTCACTCCTTATAACATATCCAAAGTACCAGAGATGAAGTCTGGTCAGTCTGACTTCTAAGGAGTATTCTAGCTGTCCTCCTTGGAATACAGATTTGTTTGTTTTTCTAGCAGTCCATGGTATATTTAATATTCTTTGCCAACACTGTAATTCAAAGGCATCAGTCCTTCTGCAGGCTTCTTTAGTCATCGTCCAGTTCTCATTTGCATATGACCCTACAGAAAATACTATGGTTTGGGGCAGGCGCATCTAGTCTTCAAAATGCCATCTTTGCTTTGAAATCCTTTAACACTTTAGTGTGGGGATTTATGTTAACCTAGCCAGGAGTTAGGTTGTGCTGCGCCGCCCGCCCGGCACTCCCTCCGGTTCTCAGTGTTGGGGGTTGTCGCTGCTGGGGGGGTCAGAGACTGCATTCCTCTAGTGACTGTTCTTTTGTCCTCCTGCCTTTGGCGCTTCCTTTATGTTGCTTCCCAGAGACACCCTGTCTCTTGCAGGGCTCCCTGCTGTAATCCACTCTTCTTACCGGAGGCTTGTTAGTGTACAGGAGGGACATAGAGAGGGTTTCTCTAATATTCTACGTTTCGGTCTCTAGAGTAGTAGGGTGTGGCCTTCACAAATGTGTCTGCCCTTCCTTCGCTGACAGGACACCCCCTCATTGCCTTCCCCCAGCTGCACAAAGTATCTACCAGTGTTCTCAGCCTACAGACTTGAGGCCCTTCCTCAGGCCAAGGCAGTCTTTTTCTTTTTTTCCGTAAACTTAGCGGGGGTGGGGTGGGGTGGCGGGGCACCTGCTGGAGCTGCTCCCCTCCCCCAGCCGTGATGGTATTTCAAAAGTCCCCTCAGATAATGTCTTTCGCCCAGAGATGAAGCCTTTAATTCTTTAAGGGAGAGGAGGAGTCTGAGCGGATCCTGGGACAGTCCTCTGTCCCCTGCGCCAATCCAGCCCCTGACCTGTCACTGCATTTTCCCCATCTTCCCAGGAAGAGCCAGGTAGGATTCCTGGAGGAAAAAGGCCAAACCAGCAGTTTCACACTCTCCTGCTAGCTCCTCCGGCAATTTGGCAAGTTTTCTACAGAGTCTGGCAGCTCCCTCAGCTTAGCAGCTGCTCAGGGCCTGTGCCTCCAGGGTCTGAGAGGCCCTCTTGCTCTGCCAACACGGCTCTCTGCTCCTCTCCAGTCTCTCCAGGCTTTTTCTCATCCTATGAGTGACACAGGGCTTTTGCAGCACTTAACATTTCTGAGGGACAAGTGGAAGTCCTATTCAACCATTTTCACCCCCCAAATATGTCAATTTCATACAGTTCAACCTAAAAGACTACGGAATCATTTCTGGAGATTGTACCTTGTTTTGTTCCAGCCACAGACCAGTCAGAGATTTCTGGAAAATACACCTGGGAGTTACTGTACACATAACTCGAATAACTCACTAAACCAAAAAAAAAAAAAAAAACCCAACTCACTGCCACCTAGTCATTTGCAACTCATAGCAACCCTCCCTGGGTTTCTGAGGTAGAATCTCTATGGAAGTAGATCGCCCAGTCTTCCTTCCGAGGAGTGGCTGATGGGTTTGAACCACCAGCCTAATAGTTAGCAATCAAAAAATGCCTTAGGCATGCTACCAGACTGACTTAATATGCCCTTGACAATGGGTTTCACACCTGAGCCTGCATCACAATGTCCCAGAGCTCTTTGGAAAACACTGCCTGTTGGTCCCCAGCTGCACAATGTCTTCTGCAGTAGATCCGTGCGTGGCGTGTCAGTCAATTTACATCTGTACCAAGTTCCCAGGGGCTGCTGTCGGTCCCAGGATCAAAGGAACCATTGCCTTAAGGGTGGGTGGTCCTGCAGGTCAGGACTCATCTACAACTTCTTTATCATGTCAACGACAGCAGTTGAGTTCTCAGCTCACCTCAAAGAAGTCATCAGAGTGTCTACCGGATGTCAGCAATATACCCACTCTTGAAAACAGCCCTTCTCCAGAGTGAAATTAACAAGAAAAAGCTTCGTGTCTTAGTTAACACAGGGGTAGCCAAGGTTTTCCATAGTGGGTGACAATCTGGGGTAACAGTGTGCAGGTCATGGGAACTTTTCACCCAGAACCATGATGCTGCAAGATGCACTCTCCCAGGGGCAGTTGCCCAATGAGCAAGGCAAGCACAGGCTTCCTTGTACTTACTTGCTAATCTGTGGTGAACGGTTTCACTTTTTTTTCCCACCACATCCAGATTCTGCTTCTAGGTATGGCTGGCATCTGGCTCATGCCACACACCTTCCTACAGAATGAAAGCCTCCTTTCATATTTACAATCCCTGACAGGGACAGAATTCCCAGTAAGCAGGGTAAGCACGGGCTTCTGTGTGCTTACTTATTAATCTGTAGTGAGCAACACGTGATTAGTAAGTAAGCACAGGTAAGGCTGTGCTTGCCGGGTAATGCGCCCCTGAGCTCCCCCTAGGGTCTGGGTGTTGGCTGAGACTCCCGTGTGCGGCGGTGGAGGTGCCTCGAAGGCTCGTTGGGTCGCCCTCCTGGGCTCACGCATCCTGTCTCATGCTCCAGTTTTGTGCCAAGATGTTAGTAAAGGTCCAAGCGGCTGCTCAGACCTATGGAACACGTTCCCAGCGGCATCCTCACACTGCCCGCTCATCTGTTCAGTCATGAGGTACTCAGCCAGCGCTCCCTTCCCGTCGGGCAGTGTCCTAGGTGCTGGGGCTACAGCAGGAGAAAACAAAAACGCTTCCTTCTGCGAGGCTCATTCTGGGCGAGGGAGACAGAAAACAGACGCGTGTAGACGGAGGGTATCAGCTGGTGAAGAAACTGAAGCAGGGTGTGGGGCTGGGGGCGTGGGGTGGAGGGTGGCTGGGGTTGCTCTCCTGTGAGGGGTTGGGGAAGGCCTGTGAGGAGGGGCCATTGCAGCAGACAGAGGCCAGAAGGAAGGGAGCCAGACCTGAGGTTTAGGTGAATACAGTTTAGGGGCAGGTGGGCGGTCAGTCACTATTGGGTGCTGCTGTGGACTCAACTGAATGCTACCTCAGGCAAACACTAGTTCTGCTACAATGTCTCAGGTTATTGGGACCCCCAGTTTGACTGAGTCAATGCACTACCCTACCAGGAATTCTCTGAAGGACAAATCAGAAATGTGGACATGGGTTTGTGCTCAGAGATGTTCCTCACAGCTTCATTTGCAACAAAAACCTTCAGACCTAAGCTCCAAGGCCCTTCCCCCACCTCCCAGCATCAGTCCGGATGGAGCCATTCTCCTCTGGGATTCTGAAGCCTCCCGGTTTCTCCCAGGGGGATGGGCGGGCATGGCACACAGTGTTCACTCTCCACCAGCTCCTTTCCCTCAGCCTTCAGCTGCAGAGCTTCAGGCCAGGGCCCACCCCTGCTTCTCGGATGGAGGCTGAGACAGAGAAGCCCTTCCACTGCCCCAAGATGGCACCGCTTTGCTCTTGGGGAATAACCTGGGAACATTGCTGGTTTCTTAGTGGCTTTTCTGTTCCACTCCAGGATGGCCTGAGCAGCTTGGTTAATTTAAAAATTGGGTTGTTAACCCTTCAAGCCTCCTCAATGAACACAAAATAGAGTGAAAACTTGCATTTCTGGGCACCTTCCACCCAGTTGCTCAAAGTGTGCCAACAGATGTCTGCTTCCGTTTTCTGGGGAACTAGTAATGTTCTCTGGGAGCTCTGGTAGCATAGTGGCTAAGGCACTTGCCTGCTAACCAGACGGCTGGTGGTTCAAACCCACCAGCCACTCCTCGGAAGGAAGGTTGGGCAATCCTACTTCCGTAGTGATACTGCCTCGGAAACCCAAGGAGGGGTCGCTATGAGTCGGGGCCGACTCGACGGCAAAACAACAACAACAACAATAACAGTAATGTTCTCTAGGGTGGTGGGGGAGCCTTCAAGACCTCACTGACATTGTTCTGTCTGCCTGATTGCTTTAAACCTGTTGCCATGTAAAGGCCCCTGGTGGCACCACAGTTAAGCGCTCGGCTGCCAACCCAAAAGTATGTGGTTGGAACCCACCCAGCGGGTCTGTGGGAGGAAGACCTGGTGATCTGCTCTGGTCAAGGTGGCAGCCCAGAAAACCCCATGGCAGTTCTGCTTGGTCACGTGGGGTCCCTGGGAGTTGAAATGGACTCTATGGCACCTAACAACAACAGCCACTTAAAGTTAACGGTTCCATGAAGCCGGTTCTCCGGGAATTCAGCTCCTCACTGGTGTGGTGTTTCTCTCTTCCTCTTTTTCCTCAGAAAATTCTGAATACAATCTAGGCGTTTGAGTCTGGGGTTCCCTCCTAGAACATCCTTTTCCAGCCACCCTTCCTTTCTTCCAGCCACCTCCTTGTCCTTCTCCAGGATGGGGCTGTCAGCTCCTCCTCTGGTTGGCTGGCCCGTTTCCTGCGTTTCTTTGGTGTGTTCTGCCTACCTCTGATGTAGTCTTCTCCCTCATCTGATTTCTGTCTGTCTGTCTGTCTTCCTGCCTGCCTGTGCCTCACTGGGTTCTGAGCTCCTTGAGGGACTAGGGAATGTCTTGCTCACTTCTGAGTTTGGGGCGTCTGACACATAGCTGGGCTCTGTGTGTACATTTAACGAGTTAACCACTACCTGCCCCCAAAAGGTGGACGGACAGAAAATACATGAAAGGCAGCACTTGAAGGGGGCTGCCTGTGCTGAAAGGGCCATTGGTGGCTGTGGTGGAGGAATGAATGAGTAGAGGCTGTGAGGGGAAGTGGGGACAGTGAGGTGAATGGAGCGTTTGCTCCACAGAGTAGGGTGCAGCACACGCCTTCCTGGCTCTGACCCTGTCTCTCTCTTCGCAGGTGTCCGATAACAAAGCTTCCCTGCCTCCCAAGCCAGGGGCCATGGCTGCAGGTGGCGGGCCGTCCCCTCTGTCTGCGGCAGTGCCCTCCCCCCTGTCGTCCTCTTTGGGAACAGTTGGACACAGAGCCAACTCCCCATCTCTGTTTGGCACGGAAGGAAAACCAAAGATGGAACCTGCAGCCAGCAGCCAGGCAGCCATGGAGGAGCTGAGGACGCAGGTCCGCGAGCTGAGGAGCATCATCGAGACCATGAAGGACCAGCAGAAGTGAGTGCCGGGGCCCTTCCATGGCTCCTGGAGAGGCCTGGGGCCTCCCGTGATGGACTGGGATGGGCACCAAGAGGCCTCAGTGGACCTACTGTGTGCAGGATGGGCATAGGCTAGCATGGCGTGTGCAGGGTGAGTTAGTTCTGGGCCTGACACTCTCAGCAGAGTGCTAAGAGGAGAATCCCTTGTATCACCCAGGAAACAGTGTTCACGTGCACCGTTTCTCAGTATGCGCGCCAGCCAGTTCTCCCTGCCAAGTCAGTGGAATTGCGACTTGTCCACTCAGCTGCCAGTTGAAGCAACTGGCTTGCATTTAGGGGACACATTGCATGAAAAAGGCACAGGGCATCTTTGAACCGGAGACTTCACACTCATCAAGCTGGTCTCACCAGGAGACTGGGCGGCGCTTTCTTTCTCTGTTCATGCCCACACACATGCCATGCGCTCTTCCCTGAGAGAGGTGAGGGGACAGACCTGTAAACAAAAACAAAAATACCATGATAGATGTCACACAGCATGGTGTGTGCAATGACAACATCGCTAAGAGGATCAGAAACAGGGAGGCCCTTATCTGAGGTAAACTGAGGCACACAGAGTTTAGGGCTCAGTTAGTTCACTCTTGAGGGAATCAGAAGAGGAATCTTAAGGAAGTGTTTCCTGAGGAGGAGTTTGAAAAAATGAACTAGGACTGTCAAGTGGCCCACGAGGTAAGGGAATAGCAAGGGCAGATTCAGGGCCATGTGGGGAAGCCTCGGATCATGAGGTGCCCAGGGGCAGTGGCAGGAGCTGGGGCTGAGCAGGAGGCTACAGGGATGGGGGAACCTGAGGTGCTTTGTAGTCAGATGCTGCCTTGGTTATCTAGTGCTATTATAACATAATACCACAGTAAGTGACTTTATCAAACAGCAGCACATTCTCTCACAGTTTGGGAGGCTCTACCCACTGCCATTGAGTCAACTCAATTCATAGCAACTGCCATTGGGTTTCCAAGTCGGTAAATCTTTACCAAAGTAGATTGCCCCATCTTCCTTTGGGGAGCACTTCTGTGGAGCGGCTGGTGGGTTTGGACCATCGATCTTCTAGTTATCAGTCAGAGGCTAGAAGTGTGACTTCAGGGTGCCAACTCTAGGAGGAGGCTTTCTGCTAGTTTTGGGGGGAAGGTTCTTGTCATCAGTCTTCCCCTGGGTCTAGAAAGTTCTCAGCGCAGTGACTCCAAGTCCAAAAGTGCTTTGCTCCCAGCTCTTCCTTCTTGGTGGTAGCCAGGTCCCTCCTGTGCTTGCTTTTCTCTCCTTTGATCTCATATAAGATAAAAAGGGATGCAGACCACACCCTAGGGAAATTCTCCTTACATGGGATCAGGGCTGTGAACTGAGCAAGGGTGCTGCATCCCACCCTAATCCCCTTACGACTGATTGGCTGATCACATCAGATCACAGCATGGGGAATCATTACGTAACTGCCATGTGACATCATTATATAACTGCCAAACCACTGAGAATCGTGGTCCAGCCAAGTTGACACATATTTTGGGGGTACACAATTCAATCCATGACAGATACTTTGGGGAGCAAGTAGGTTAAACACAGTTCATTTCTTTTCAGAAGGACTGCTCAGAGCCTTCACTGTACATCAGGAGGGTGGAGGGGAATCCCACGTGTGTTGTTTCTCAAGTGCGCTCAATGGCAGCACCCCTTTCTCTGGAGCATCCAAGGACTGGTGTTCTGTGGAATGCAGTCTGAGGAATGTGGCTCTAAGTGGTTCTATTCCACTCAGGCTGGGAGGTGTCATATGAAATTGAGCCTTCTTAGAGGACATAGTGCCAAATGACAAACCATTATCGTAGAAAGTCAAGGAAAGTTTTACACAAGGAAGGAAATTTTCTTTGTTGGTTACCAGGGATGGGAGGAGTGGGAAAGGGAGGGAAAACAGATGGCTAATTAAGAGACAGGTTTGATATGGGTGAAGGGATTTAAAAAAGGAAGATTAGCCAGTAGTTGATAGTTTCTGAAGCTAAGTTATGGGCACATTGGGGTTCATTGTGCTAGTCTTTGTTTCTGTTTGAAATATTTAATAATAATAATAATAATAATAAAAAGAAATTGGGGCCTCTTAGATTTACCCACTACCCAGAAGGGACTCATCAGATCAGTGTCCCGAACTAGCAGGATGAGACTAGAGAGGGCCACCCAGGGCCAGCCAGGCCGCCTCTAACTTGTGTCTCTTTAAAGTTCCTGCTCTTTTCTGGCTCTGGGTGTTACAGATTTGGGTACCCAAAGGCCCATCCAGGAAGCTTTCGTTTGCAGGGCATTTAGTTTATCCCCATGGTGGTGGAATATTTTAGAAAAGGATAGCAACAATGGTGGCATAATGTGAAAAATGTCATCAATGTCCCTGAGCTGTAAATGCAGAAGTTGTTATATTGGCAAATTTCTTGTTTATGTTTTCACCGTAATAATAATAAAGGCCCGATCTATGTCCCCATAACATAAGTCCCTTGCCAAGATAATGACTCCACAGTCCCAGAACATCCCAGGACACTGGTTCTCAGACTTCGGGATGTTCAGCCTGTTGAGAAAGCAGGTTCAGAGTGTCTGAGAGTTGGATCCAGTACAGCTGAGGCAGGGCCTCGAACTCGGCATTTTAACACTGGGCCCTCCAGATGAGGCTGGCACATGTGCCATAGGAACACACTTTGAAAAACTCACCATGAGGGCAACACCAGAGGTAAGTTATTTTAGGAATGAGCTGGGCACTGTACTGGGGAATGTCAGAGACACTCAAGCCATGGGAGGGACAGTTCTTACCCTCAATGAGGTCCCAGTCCAAATGGCACACAGAGGAAAAGATACCCAACAGAAGGGTGACACAGATGGTCATAGGGAGCCTGGCCCTCAGAAATGGGGATGCTGGGGATGCTGAGTCTCAGAAAGAGCCCCGCAGTGTCTTGGAGGCAAAGCAGGGGCTGCTGCACAGGTCTCCTGACCTCTGGTCCACAGCACTGCCCACCAACCCGAACTGCTTCCTGGTCAAAATTTTTTTGTGCTAGAGGGAACATGCCTGGGTCTTAAGGGCTCTCACCAGGGAGAGGTGTTGGTGAGGGGAAGCACTGAGGGCAGTGGGGACAGGTAGCCTCCTATTCTAGTTCCCTAATGCCGCTCTGACAGGAATATACCACCAATGGGATGGCTTTAACAACAGGACTTTACTCTCTTACAGTTTGGAGGCTTAAGTCTGAATTCAAAGTGCCAGGCTCTAGGGGCTGGGTGAAAGCCCCTCAACCTTGGGCTTCAGCGCTGCCTCTTACTCCTGGCCCACTGAAGTTAGAGGCATACAAGGTCAACAAATAAAATGGCATAGCCCTGATGTTACCACACCACATGGCAGGCCATTAATTCAAGTCCATTGAAAGTCCTAAGCTTGGCAAGTATGGCGATTCCTTCAAAAGTTGGAATTACAAATACCATTTGACCCAGCCATTCCATTACTAGGTATATATCCTATAGAAGTGAGAGCCATGACAAGAACAGACATAGGCACACCCATGTTCATTGCAGCACTATTTACAATAGCCAAAAGATGGAAACATCCGAGGTGTCCATCAACTGAGGAATGGATAACCAAACTTTGGTACACACACACAGTGGAATACTATGCAACCCTAAAGAATAACATAGAATCTGCAAAACACCACATAA